AAAAAAAAAAAAAAATCAGGGGAAGTTTAATAGTAAAACATCAACTTGTACTACATGTGGTACTAATGCAAGTATTAAATGCTAGTTTGCATTACCCTGATAATATAAAATTTATTTTGGCAAAAGACAAAGGTTCATTTTAGGAAATATTCCTGTGAGTTAGCCAAACGAATTTCTACCAGCACTCTATGGTATCAAAAACTATGCCTTAAATGCAAAAAAGGGGGGCCTTTCTCCCCTACCCCTCACCATATCAATTATAGGTTTGAAGAACAAATTTGGGAGTGTTTCATCTGGTGTTTGTAGATGAGATAAAATCTGCATGTTTGTTTCTTTTGCAATGTTTAAGCATTATTTGGAGCCCTAGGAACTACAAAGTCAGCGTGAGATTCTGACTGGGAACAGCACACGGCCAGTACATGACCAGCACACGGCCAGCACGCAGCCTGCCTGCCTGCCTGCCTGCCTGCCTCTCCATCCTGATTAGGCTGTTTTCGTGGCTGTTGGGCTAAGCTATGTGGCCACTTAGCTGTGTGGCCATGTCAGGATATTTTAAAGGACTTGCCAGGGAGAACTGGGAAGGAGATGGCCTTGTACTGTGGGATGTGAGCTGAAGTCAACGTCCACTGCCTCAGAACTCAGGGAGCTGATGCCAGGGGGCACAGAGGTGGGCAAGGCTCAAAGCGGGAAGGGAACACTGTCTGCTGTGGAGGGTGGGGAATCTCTCCAGCCTGCTGGGGATGGTCAGCAATGGTGTCGCAGACCACGGCTGTCCTCAGTCCAGTGTCTGGGGGCATTCTGCCAGAGGGTCCCCACACCCTGCACAGGGGCAGAGGCTGGCATTAGCAGCCTCCCCATGGCAGACCTCGCGGCCTGAGGAGTATGTGTGGCCTTGCTGCCAGAAGTGACTCTGATTCACAAAGGCTGCCTCCAAACTGAGCCCGACCCTCTACCCACCCAGTCGCCTGAGACCCTGCCAGTATTCCAAGGCCACAGAGAGCTTTTCTACCTCTTAAATGTCTGAAGGCTGCTCCGAATGCAAAGAGGATTCCTCCTCCTGCTCCCACCCCTCTGTGTTACTGAGAGTGTCAGCTGGTGGAGACTGCCTTTTATATGCAAATATTGGAACCATTAATTCCCAGTTCCTGCCCCCAACCCTCCCTCTTACAAGACCCTGTCCTTCCCATCTAATGGCAAACCGATTCCCACCTTGCTAGAGTGGTTAAGGACTTCTGGGCTTGGTGAGACTAAAACTGACTTATTTTGGGTACTCCAGTGCTGATTCAGATTCTACAGAAGGGAAATGCCTTAAGACCAAGGCATTTTATGTCTAAGTAGGAAAATGACCTCCCCAGTGGGCCCCTTGCTGAGTGCCCTGACCAAGGAGCAAGTTCTGTTCCTGCTGGGGCCTTGGGGGTCAGCACTATGCGGGTCCCAAACTTACTTGTAAGGGGAGAGGGGCACAAGGGCTGAGGAATTTTTCCAGAGTCACCCATCTCTGTGGGGGGAGAGTAGTGATGGAGCCTGAACAAGCCACCTGGCCACACTCTGGGCCCTTTCTCTGGTCGCTCCAGGAAGGCGGGAACTCAGCCCTGTTACAAAGAACAGCCAGAACAAGAGGGCAATCGAGGATTCATGGCCTCCTTTTGCCGGGCTTTGGAGTCAGTGGTGAAAGGATGTGTGCCTTCCCACTGTGCTCAGCCCCCTTCCCCTTCTGCTGTCCTGTCTCCCCCGCAGCCCCTCAACCCCTTCCCTGCAGAGTCCCAGAGTTTGCCAAGCACAGTCCCTCCCTGGCAGCCAGCCAATACTGATCAGTACTGAAAGCTTCAGCCAGGGAAGGAACATGTTCTCAAAATGTAAAGCTTGTGTCCCAGGGAGATGCTTGGTTAGGGGGCAGCAAGTGTTCCAGACTCTGTCACGGTTCTCCAGGGCAGCCCGGCTGGGGGGGCGGGGATCTTCCAGAAAGGCCAGGTCCCTCCCAGTCCCAGAGTGACAGAATTCACTTCCCCCCACTGCCGCAGCTGCCCCAGCTCTTCACTGCTGTCCTGGAGGCTCTGTGGCTCCCTGCTTTGCTCGCCCTCCGCAGTTGGTGGCGCTTACTTGTACCAGGCCATGGAGCCGCCCACGCAGCCCTGTGAGGCAGGAATGCAGGAATGGGAGGGCAGAATGAGAGCAGGAGATGCAGTTCCTTCCCTTCAGAGAAAGTTGTTTCTTCTTGTACTGGTCCTGATGTAAAGCAGCCCCGCAGTGACTTCACACCTGACACAATGGCCCTGACTATGGATGCTAATGAGCTCACAAGTGGCCACCAGCCTGGCCCCAGTACAAGGGCTGGAGCAAAATGCCTTCTCCTAAGAGCAGGGGTCCTAGGATTGTGTTGGGATGACCGGTCTAGCAGGAAAGCTCCTGTGAGTGACCTCGTGTTACCTGACCACTGGTGCAGACATTCATTCCAGGCTGGACTCTGTAGCATGAGGGGGAAAAACATTTAAAAAGTAGGTTCAGGTGCAGTGGCTCACACCTGTAATCCTAGCACTCTGGGAGGCTGAGGCAGGTGTACTGCTTGAGCTCAGGAGTTGGACAGCAGCCTGAGCAATAGTAAGACCCTGTCTTTAAAAGTGAGCCTGGTGTTATGGCAGGTACAGCAGTCCCAGCTACTGGGGAGGCTGAGGCAGGAGGATCATTTGAGCCCAGGAGTTTGAGGTTGCTGTGAGCTATGATGCCACAGCACTCTACCTATGACAGAGTGAGACTCGGTCTGAAAAAAAAAAAAATAAAGTAAAACAAAGTAAAATTATTAAAAAAATCAGAAAAGGGCTGAGCAGTACAGTAATTTAGAAGGTAATTTAATGTATTTAGGGCCTTATCCAACTATCATCTAAAACTAAGTCTCACATCTTTGGGGGAAAGATGACCGGGCTTTTTTTTCCACGAAGGGCATTTGAAACTTGCTCATACAACTGTAGTGATGCCTCCTCCTCCCTCTTTCCCTCCTTCCCCGCCTCCCTGACCCACAGCCTGCTGCTGTACTGACTCTCGTTCCTGCCTCTCCCACACAGGTACACGCTGGCGGCCCAGGACCTGGTGATGCGTGCCCGGGGTGTCCTGAAGGACAGAGGATGGCGGATATCTAATGACCGACTGGGCTCAGGAGACGACATTTCTGTCTATGTCATTCCTTTAATACATGGAAACAAACTGTCATGAAAATGGTCCAGGGGGTTGGGAAGACAGAGGGGAAGAAATCAACTGGGGTGCCTCTCAGCAGGGTGGGCCTGGGAAGTGCCCCTGCGAGTTCCAAGTGATGGAGACACCTCCCAGCCCAGTGCGGGGGTGGGGAGCGTTTGCTGCCAAAAGGCCTCCGGCTGTGCTTCAAGATGACCCTTAGGTTTCCGTGTCTTCTTTAGTAACAGGCCAACTCTACAGAGTAAAACACAAAGGCTGCTACTGAGTGTTGTGTTTGTTAGTTCCTTTTATGGGCCTCCCCGGTGGCCATTGCCTGCTTGGGGCACATACCTTGTATTTATTTTCTCTAGAGTAGCTGGGCAGCCATTTTCACGTGTAACTGGCAGGCAACTCCAGTCCGTCAGCTGCCAACTTCCCTACCAGGGTAACAAGTGTGTTGGAAAGTGGGGAACCGCGCCTCCAAGTGTAAGCGCCCACCAGCTACGCCAAGACTCAGCTGCCCACTTGCCCTCGTTCTCTCTGTTCTGTGGTAATGGTGGCGTAAGGCAGGGACTTATCTCTTTTTTGACATTCCTTAATTTTTTTTTCTTTTCCGTAAAACAGGGCTGGGAATTTCCAGCTCCTTGCTGAGGAATTTCTGTGTCAGAGTCCACCCCGGGCTGGCTCGTCCCCATGTCCTCCAGCCGTGCCGCCCAGGCAGCCTTGCATGACAGCACCGTTGTTGTCTGACGTTAGTTCCAGGGTTGCATTTTCTCACCAAGTCAGTGTGTTTTCAGGAAAAAATCTGAGTGTTTCTTTGGACCGAGAGTTTCTCTCTTGTCTTCAGTGCCTCCCTTGTGTGGCCAGAGGTTCCTGTGTGATTCAGGATTTCCCCCTCTGGAGTGGCTGACCCTGTCATACCTGCTGTGTTGTGGGGACATGTTTGAAGCAGTGTCCATCAGAGCAGTCTGGGAGGTTTATCGTATCTACCAGTTCACCAAACCTCATCTGAGGATGCTTTTGGATTCAGGTTTCGTGAGCTGTGACTGTCCCCAAGTCCTCTTCAAACTAAGTGTCAGTATCCGAGTTCTGTCAAGGAGCAGCCTTTCTCCTCCCCCTGTCATTTTTGTGCAGGGTCCACTCAGGATGGGACTTTGATAAAAGTGAACTTGAATAGGGTTGACAGGCCATTTCCATGCTATGGGTCTGTCCCTTCTCTGGAGAATCACATCCTAGTGACCCAAAACTGAGCCCCTGTTCCACTGTGGTTCCGCCTGTGAGTGTCCCACACAGACAGCGGCAGCAGAGGCCACCTGCGCACCTGCAGCTTCTCTGCCGGGAGGAGTGGCGAAGTCTCTCAGGCCTCCTGCTCTGCGAGGGTGTGTAAGACAATCCTAGTTCCCTGGTCCTCTTCCTCAGGGCTACCACGCATCCTCACCATCCTGACAACTGTGTGTAACTAAAATACTCTCTGACCCAATAAAGAAAAGCTTGTTGGTGTGATCCAGCCCCAAATGCTAGAGAGCCGATTTCCGTTCTCGTGTGTCCTTGGAATTCCTTCTCAGATGACAGGAGCAGAACCCTTCCTCAGGGGTAGTAAATCACAGCGTCCGTAGGGTTTAGATATTTTATTCATAAGGGCTGGGAGCCGTCCTACTCAGGAATGAATTCATCCCCCAGTGTGGAGACAACATCCTGTCTGGCAGGTGCCCCACGGGAATTCACCCCGCCACTCCAGTGTTGCCTGGGAAGGATCAGACCATTACCTTGTCAGGAGTCATCTTTGTCTGACAGCATCTCCGCCTCTTTCAGTAAATCCAAGCTACCCCAAACTGACCTGCCCCGAGCATCTCTTTGGGGAGGAATTTGTGTAAACCGTTTGCCTTCCTGGTAGCATCTGATGCTGTGGGGGATCTTCTGGGCAGCCTTGTGGAGAGTCTTACGTGAGGACCCTGAGCTGCCACCGTTGGGACCCCTCCTGTGTGCCCATTGCCTTTCATCTCTGTGCTTTTCTGGGCCTCACTTTGAGCTTCTCTAGTTTTATTCCAACTACCAAGTCGGAATTTGGGTTTAGACATGACGACCTTCCACTCAGTCCACCAATTCGCCTACTGCCAAGGTACATCTCAGGAAAACTCTGGAATCCCCTAATTCAGAATACCCTGAAATCTTGAGAATTTAGTCCTATTGGTTTGAGTTAGAAAGGCATCCAGGAATTCTTTTCAGAAGCCCCCTTAGGTGAAGCGATCTTAGTAGCGAGATGAACCCATGTTTGTGTTGGAGGACCTAATCAAAAGTGGGGAATGGGGCGGGTTAGTAATGCCCAGGGCACATCTGCCCAGCCCTGGAAGTGCTCTGTGAATGGAGCTTTCTTAGTTTCGGTCTTATTTTTCAGCCTCAAGTCACCCCATTCCAGAATAGGGAGTGTGTCTACACAACGGGGTGGCCCTTGGTGCATTCCCGGACAGGTCAAAAGTCAGCACACTTCAAAATTCTGCAGACCATATTTGGATGTGGTTCTGAAATCTCATGTATCTGACTTGTATCCAAATCTGCTTGTCCTGATAGCCTCAGAGGAAGCCTCGTTTAATAAAAAGCTTTTCATTTCCTAGTCAAGTGTTTATGGTTGTCTTGGGAGGGTGGGGGCTGCTTCCTTTAAAGAAAGGCTTTTTCAGCTCTGGATCTCCCTGGCGGGCTGGCCTCTGCTCTTCAGACTATTTGGTGAAAGTCTGTTCCTTAAAGAGAGCAAACTCACACACCATCCACGCTCTGGTATTTCACTAGGTAACAGCCGCGGCTTTGTTTGTGTAATACCTGAAATCACAGCAGTATCCAGGGTGCAAGGTGTGTTCTGCTGTGGTTATGTAGACCTGGATACTTGTTCTTGAGGCCGGAAAAGAAGGGTGAAAATCAGGCTGGGCCAAGTATATTCAGCTGTCGAACAGGACAAAGCTTTAAAAAGTCAAAATTTCAGTTATTTTCCACAGTATTCTGCTTTGAAGGATTTGGGGTGTTTAATTTTTTCAGTAATGAGTAGCTTCCCCTCCCGGGGCCTTGTGAGCTCAGCTGCAGCTTCTTCTTGCTCTTCCAAGGACCATTTACTTCCCGGGAGGAGTTATGCAGCCACAGGTAGATACTGACGGCAAGAGGGAGGCCCCAGGACCCAGATTTAATCGCAGAACTTAGCACAGGTTTTCCACTTACCCAGAGCACTAGAGTAGAAACACTTTGGGGAAATCTCCCACATCTTTAAAATTCTGACCCCGTCTTGATACCGGCTTCCTCCCGTCCTTCCTCATCTGCCAGTCCCCTCTATTTCTAAGGCCCCAGTGCGCAGTGGTTTTCTTCCCACCAGTTCGAGGACCTCACCTTTCCTTAGGTGACCCAGCAGCTCCACTGTTTTCAGAGTGAACAATACATTACGCTTTGATGAGATTCTATTTTCAGCGAGGTCGCGCTTCTGGGACACTTGGAGAAAGTGGAGAGAGTTGTTGTCTATGCAAGGAACGACCAGGCTGACCACAAAAGTTCTCAAATCTAAGAAAATGGGAAACTGGTCTCTGGTAGGAGCGAGTTGTATGTTAGGAACTCAGATTTTTGAGGACTTACCATTGCAGAGAAATGTCGCACCTATACACAGGAGTCCGCGTCTCTGAGCAAACTGGGTTCAGGTGGTGGCGTGTGGGATTCGTCACAGGACACTACACAAGTGGCCAGATCTGCTTCCTGTGAGCACCGGGCCTTCTGTCAGATTTGAGTGCCAGTCTGGAGAGCACTGCTCTGCCAAATCCATGGTGTCACCTGTGTAAATAGCTATGACTCTCCCTCTGTGTCTTCAGTGAACTTCTGTCACGTAGCAGCCAGGTAGATGGTGACCAAATCAGGTTGTAGACGTGCACCTACTGTGACGTACTCGAGGAAGGGCGGCCTGGGCCTTTATGCTCCTGATCTCCCACAAGTATGTGCTATTCGTCTGGGGAATCTGGAGGTTACCCTTTGACTCCTACTATGTCCCCAGTTTTCTGCGTTTCCTCTGAAGACCCAGGAAGGCCCATTCTGAAGATCATCTGTAAGGAGCATGTCATGGTCTGGGTTTCCAGAACTGCCCTCCATACAGTGAATGAGAGAAATCCGCCTGGAAACGGCTCCAGAACCGAGTCCCTTTATGCCTCGTGATTGTGAAACACTGAACTTTGTAACCCCAAACTGGACACTGGTTAGTAAAGGGGATCTATTTTGTGTGTTTTGAAATGTAGGTGCAAAGTTCCCTGGAAAAAAAGCTAAAGAAATGTATATGCTCAATGACATTTTAAAATAAAATATTATATATATGTATATAGAACATCGCTGGCACAACTTTTTTGTGTATTTTCTATGAATTCACTGTGATGTTTTTTCATAGCAGGTGACTGCATGGTATGAGAGTCTTGTGGCTTAATTTGAGGTTATCAACTGTGAACACAGCCTCAAAAGAAAATCAAAAGGAAATGGATGCAGACACCACAGGCCCTCTCAGGATAGCAGTAAAGGCTGATACACTGGCTAGGCCTCGAGAGCAGTGCTTTTCAATCTTTTTTATCACAGCACACTTGAACCTACAGCTAAACTTCCATGGCACACTTAAAGTATGTTGATCAAAAAAAAAAAAAAGTAAAAAAAAAAGAAAATACTGTGCTTTGAACTTCTTTTGAAACTTATTTAATTAATGATCTTTAAAAATGTTCATGGCACACCAGGTTGAACATCACTGCTCTAGAGCAACTACCTTGGGTAGCACATGGGAATGCGTGAAGAATTCTGAGAAGAATTTCTCCCAGCAGATACTCCACAGTGAGAGGGCTATGCCTAATCTCCTTGCTGAGCACAGCATGAAGACTGCCTTGATCAATTAAGCATTTAAGTGTATTTACAATCATTAGTAAAGCGTACTGTTTTACAGAGAAAAGATACTATAACAGGTGGGGTAGGCCCTCAAAGGATGCTAATTGTGCTTCATTGTAGAATCCAGGAAGTTAAACAGGATCTAGAAAGTATCAACAACGTGTGAAGTACGATCACGGTACTCACAAAAAATAGCTAAACGCGGGTTCTAGCTTATCTAAAGCTCGGTGAGGAGGAGCAGAGGGAAGTTGCATTAGATCAATTTTATTGCAAAACCCTCAGCTCTTTTCACCTTCTTTTGGACGGTAGTGTTTTCCTCTTCCCCCACTCAGGAGTAGAAACTAATGGAAAGAGTCGATCCCTGAACTAAACGCCCGAGGTCGGATGTCTCTCCTCTGTGCTGGGGGAGGGGGGTCGTCTCCATTCTCTCCTCCTTAGCTCTCGATGGATGCCGTGATCTTCCTCCCAAATGGCCGCCACAATGCTTCTTATGCCTATGTACAAATGTTCTTTTTCTCCTCGGGAGGTGGGGTTTGTTACAGCTGGGAAACAGACTAATAGAATGAAGAAGCGACATTCTGAGACGTCCAGGCCAAGGTCTCTGGAGGCCTTGGAGCACCTGCTTCCACTCTGAGCAGCCGCTCACTCTGCAAATGTCAGACTAGATTAGTGAGTGATGAGAGGCCGCCCGGGAGAAAACCAAAGTGTCCAGATGTTGGGTTGGGGCCTTCTTCAGTCCTCACGCTCCAGATGAGTCACTTTAGGTGATCTCATGAGAAAAAGGAGGCCCAGCCAGCTCTCAGCTCTTCTGGCCCTCCAGCTGAGCAGAGGAGAGCCATCCTCGCTTAGCCCTGCCCAGATTCCTGGTCCCTACTACAATGAACAATTAAAATGACTTTTGTTTTAAGGCATGAAGTTGTGGATAGTTTATTACACAGTGATAGATAATTCCAACAAGGCATAAATCACCTGGCTCTGGGGAATTGGGGGGCAAAGTGGTTAAAAATATAATTTTTAAAAATAATATTGAGAAAATACACTTGTAACTTGGGAAATAATCCTCCATATGGAACCTGGTCTGGTGACTAAGATTGGGAACCAGCCAATAGCTGCAGCGCAGAAGCTAACCGATGACCCACACGGCACCTCAGCAGTGTCTGATTCTCCTGCCTCCGTGCAGCTCAGAATGATCCTTAGTCAGCAGGAAGATGATGCCCCTCTCGGGGCTGTGAACCTATAAGGGGATAACAAAGACCCCTATAAGGGGATAACAAAGACCCTCGCTGGTGACAAGACTATTCTACATTGTACCCTTATGACCCCTGGGGCAGTCAGGTGGGTCTCTGGTTCCCAATACTGTGTTGCTTAAGACTTAGGGAAAACAAAACAATACTTAAATTGCATGTGAATGTGAGTGCGTGTTTTAATTCCCATCATTTAAAACTCCTTATTTACAAAATACGTATTGCCACTGGAAAATGGCATGCCTAGTAACCAGTCGTCTCTGATTCAAACTAAGGAACTGTAGAACCTAAAAGGTGGTGATCATAGTGGTTCTGGATTAAATATCACCTTTTCTTGAGTTTGGTCAGTGAAAAGGAAAAGTTGGGAGAAGTTTCTAGAGAACTGTGAAATGTCCACTCTCATCGTCCTAGGTGAAAAAAGGAAAATTCCCATTCTTGGAAGCCTTAAACACTACTCAGAGAATGTTCGGCCAGTCTACCAATTGCACGGTAGAATTTGAAGGAAAATTAACAGCATGGTTCTTAAGAAAAAGATAAGCGCTATCATTAGTATTAAATGCCTTAAAATACAATGGAAATAGGTTCAAATATTTACAGATGAAATATTATAATGTATGTCTTGGAATTGTTTCAAAGCAATAAAGTGAGAGAGGAGTAAAAGATTTAGAGATGAACAAGATTGGGCATGTCGAAGAAAGTTATGCAAACTTGGAAATAAAAGGATGACCGGGTGTTTTTTCAATGTCTTTCCTAGACTTTCCTCTGCCAGGCCACCCAAGGATTAATTAGGTCTTAGGTTATAGTTCAGCAAACTTTTTCTGTAAAGGCCCCAATTGTAAATGTTTTAAGCTTTATGGGCCATTTGGACTTTGTCACACTACTCCAATGAGCTATCGTTGCCTGAAGGCAGCCAGGGACAGTCTGAACTAGGATCTGCTCTAAGGCAGCATAAAGTCAAGCTTTTAGACCTTGACTAGAAAAATTAACTCATTAAAATTCGTCTTCATCTTGCCTCTCTGGTGTGAAATGAATGAAGAAAGTCCAACATATTAATGAGTACTAATGTCAACTCTTGCAAGGCTTTAGTTCTGTGCCAGCAGCTGCTTAGCACTTACCCGGCAGGTGTATGCTGGTGAGGCGGCAGGTGTATGCTGGTGAGGCGGCAGGTGTCTGTTGGTGAGGCTTATCTCCACGGTGAGACTGAGTGCCAGGCTCTGAGAGAAGGCCTTTAGGCAGGCAAGCAGAATGAAAGGTATGTTACCCCAGGGGTTATTAACCACAGCACCTGAATGTTCTATCCATTTTTTAGGAAAAAGTGAGGAGGGGTAGCTTTAGCTCTCCGTACATGACAACTAATAGTTAAAGAGGAGAGAGATCCAGAGTCTGTAAGAACTCAACAAAATTATGTTCAAATCCTCTTGAACTAGAAGTGTGCTCAAGACGGATTCTGCATTCTTGATCAGTGGCCTGTAATAAGAGTAATGGTAAAAGGTAAATCTTGTACCGGGGTGCCAAGCTGCACTATTTATTATAAAACTTGAAGTGTCGGGATGGAGAGTCATTTGCTGCAGTGGGGCCGATGTTACAGCTCTTAACATCTCTCTTTATGGGCTTAGAGACCCTGAAGGAAGATGACCATTTCACATACTAACAGGGTATTTTTTGATGATCTCCTTGACCTTTGCCTCTGGGCTCAGCAAGAAGAGTGATTAAGATGACACTTTTTAGCAGAACCAAAGAACAAAACCCAAAGAATTTAAGTTTAAGGAAGCTTAAATTCAATGATACAGTATAATCCCGAGCATTTAATTAATTAATACCTGCCCCTTCCCACAGTGCATTTATAACCTGGCTGCACACTAAATCACCTGGGAGCTTTAAAAAAATCCTGCGGACTGGACCTCAGACCAATTAAATTAGAACTCCCCAGGGAGAGACCCAGGGTCTTGTCTTTTCCTTTTGGGGGGGGGGTGGCGAACAGAGCCACACTCTGTCACCGTGGGTAGAGTGCTAAGGCATCACAGCTCACAGCAACCTCAAATTTTTGGGCTCAAGAGATCTTCTTGCCTCAGCCTCCAGAGTCGCTGGGACTGTAGGCCCCAGCCACCACAGCACCTAGTTTTTCTATTTTTAGTTGATACAGGATCTGCTCTTGCTAAGGCTGGTCATTAGTACTTTTTAAATGTCCTCATAATTCTAATGTGAGAACCACTGAGTAAAGATAACTAAGGACACATCTCTGAACTAATGCTGGCAGATTTAGCAGACAAAAAATACACCACACACAGATTTACATTTCAGATCAATAGAGTTTTTTAATGTATGTTATGTCCCTTGCCATATTTAGCTTACACTCCTAGTAAATTACTTGCTATTAATTTGAAATTCACATTTAAATGGGTGTCTGGATGGCCCAGCTTTGGTGGCTGTTAATGAGGATTTTCACCTTTTTTTTGAGACAGAGTGTCAAGCATTTGCCCTGGGTAGAGTGCGGTGGCATCACAGCAACTTCCAACTCCTGGGCTTAGGCGATTCCCTTGTCTCAGCCTCCCAAGTAGCTGCGACTACAGGTGCCCTCCACAACGCCGGCTATTTTTTGGTTGTAGTGGTCACTATTGTTTGGCGGGTCCGGGCAGGGTTCAAACCCGCCAGCTCTGTTGTATGTGACTGGCGCCCTAGCTGCTGAGCTACAGGCGCTGAGCCAATTTTCACCTTTCGTCCGCGCAGCTGTTTTTAATCGCCAGGTAAACACCTCTGTAGGAGAGAGTCAGGGTACTAACCTTAGCGGTGCAGGCTACTCTTAGAAGCTGCCAGTTAGGAATTGTTCTCGTTAGCCGTTTAGCAACACTTCCCCTTTCATCCCGTATTTTATCTGGAAACCCTACAAAGGACAGAACTGAAAAATCAAACTAGGGAGGAAGAAAAGCCCCATCCACAGAGAAGTTTCACTGGGTGTAGATTCCTGAGGAAACCAGGAAAGGGAATGGGTGGGGGGAACTGCAGAGACCCTCTCCAGGCCCCTCCTGCGGCCAGACTTCTCCCCGTTTCCTTTGTCGGTTTTTGGGGGAAAATGCCTCTAATGTTAGGAGACTTTGCACAGGAGCGGGAGAAAAGGAAGCTCCATCTTCGTGTTACAGGACATTAGGACCTCAGACCAATTAAATTAGAACTCGGGCTTGGTCGGCTGTTCGCTGTCTCCAAGCAGGTGACCCGG